TGATAAAAATCAAGTGTCATTTCTTATTTCTCCGTATGAATATCTGGTAGTTCATACTGAAAGTTCATTCTTTCTCATTGCTCTGAGGATCCCCCATCATCATACATCAAAAGTCAGCACCTGCTCAGATTTGTTCTAGATCCTTCCCTCGGGTACATTGGCTTGTAGCGTGTCCCTGAGCCAGCCACATGCCTCAGTTACTCAAGCCTTGTAACAATGCCTGGTGTTGGGTACAGTGAGTCATTCTTTGATTTTACTCGGGACTATCATGACTGTCAGCCCTTTGCCTTTCATACAAATTATAAATTCACCTGGTCAATTACCCCCCCCAAATGGGAATATAATTAATAATGCAGGAAATCTCTAGATGAGTTAGGGGAAAATGATTATGATACCGAGCGTTCTCATCCATGAACACAGAACATTCTTTCAGTTATTTTGATCTTATTTTGGGTCTCAGTTCCTACTTGATAGTTTTCTACACACAAGACTAGCATATATTTTGTTAGATTCACTCACAGTTATTTGACTTTGGTGTGGCAAATTTTTTAGATTTCATTTTTTAATTATTTGTGGCTAGTTTTTAGAAACAACTGATTTTTGCTCAACTTTTAATTCTGCTATTTTATTTTTAGAATCTCTTGAATTTTGTCCATAGTGTATCCTAGCAACTGTGTATCTGCCTGGCCGATCTTTTTACATTTTTGTTTCCTTGCCTACCATACTGGGCAGTGACATCCAACACAATGTTGAGCAGAGTGGTGGCCACCTGTATTCTTATGTGTTCTCCATCTCTGAGGATGCTTTTCAATTTTCACCATTTTTATGTTGTAACTTCTGTGTCTGCAGCCTCAGCAGGTCTCTTTCTATACTCTGTTGTTTCTGTTGGTCCTCATATGCATTGCCTTTCATTCTCATGAACCTGGTCCTCTTTGAGTGTGTTTTAACATATAATTTGAAGGAAAAAAAAACCCACTTTGAAGAAATAATGGCCTGGGATGTTGTCCTTCAAAGATGTTCCTTGGTTTCAGCTGGTAGCCTGAGGGTGCTAGCAACAATTTCAGGAATTGAGATCTCTTTCCTGCGATGCTTAGATGTCTCAACACCAATCTGCAGCCCACGTGAAACCTGGCTATCACCCCTTCATCCTATCTCTAGGGTGCAGCCCTTCTCAGTCCCAGCACCGCACTCTTTTTTTTTTTTGAGTTGGAGTCTCACTCTGTTGCCCAGACTGGAGTGCAGTGGCCGCT